CACCACCCCACACACGCTGAGGGAAAACCAGCAGCAAGCAGCTCCCAAACCCCTCCCCGCTGGCTCAGAACCACCCCGTGACCCCTCATTAATTAGCAATTAGCGCTAACGAGGAGCTCTCACCAGGTAGACCAGCACACACATGTGCTCCTTGGGCAGCCAGTGGAAGAGGTCGGCGGGGTTGCTGGGCAGGATCTCGTCGTCGTGCAGGGTGGAGATGGTCTGGATGCACTGCTGCAGCTGCTTCAGGCACGGCTTCACGCTCTTCACCTGCCCCGGGGGACAATTCCCAGCGGGAATTCCTCACATTCCCGCCGCTGGAATGCTCTGGAGAAGGGGAACTTCCCAAGGGGGGGTGGTAATTCCCGGATTTAGGGGGTTTGGTTTGGAGGTTTGGGTTGGTTTAGCACCGATGAGCTCGGTGCTTCACGGTGAACAGCAAGAGATGCTCAAAATATTCCCAAAAGTCTCCACAAAAATTCCCGTTATCCCCTCCAACACCCCATGGAATCAACAGAGACCACCATGGATATCAAAACACCACGGACAACACCCCCAAATTAACATAATCTCCTTACTCTTCGCTTAATTTGGTTCTAAAACCAACAAAAATTCACTTCTGTGATTAAAAAAAAAAAATCCCCTCGGGGCCGGTTATTTTTTTGGGGGGAAAAATTCCCAAAAAAATAAAAATTCCACTCCCAAATTCCCAGCGTGGAACGTGGCACGTACCTGGCCGGCATCCAGGTAATGTGTGACCTGCAGGACCAGGAAGAAGACTCGGAGGGATTCCTTCTGGATGGGATTGCCCTGCCAGTTCTCCACGATCTGCCCGCACAGCGTCAGCAGCGGGTGAACCTCCTGCAGCTTCCTCTCCATCAGCAGCAGCTGCAATTCCCAAGGGAAAATCCCGGTTTTTTTTCCCCCCAGGATAAACACTCAGGGAAGGAGTTTCCCCCTGGATAAACGTGGCTGCTTCACCCCTGGAATTGCCCAAAGGTAGGTTGGAGCAGACTGGGATAGAGGAAGGCGCGTCGCTGGTTTTTTCCAAGGTAATTCCGTGGATTCTCTAATTCCAGGAATTAGGATTGGGATGTTCAGCTGATTTCACCTCACCAGCTTTTCCCTCCCTCAAAAGCTCCAGGGAAAATTTGTAATGATCCTTTTATTTTTCCCAGGAAAAAAAAAACGAGGGAAAAAAACTGAATTTATCCATAAGAATCCTGCTTATCCTGCCCCCCCCGCTAAAAAAATCCTTTGGAATTTAGAATGAAACGGGAAATCATTTATTTAAAAACATCTTCCAACTCACCATCCCCTTGCTGAGCAGGAAAAGGGCTCTGGAATGAAAGAAAACAAAGTGAAATTCCAGAAGAAATTACTCCATCTCCCCCCTCCAAAACAAAAACCACTAGGAAAAAAATAAAAATCTGCCTTTTTCCCCCTAAAAACAGGGGAAAATGAGAATGAAGGGATCTGATAGAGGAACTCCCAGGAAAATCAAGGAGGAAATTCCAGAGAATTCAGGGAGGAAATTCCAGAGAATTCTGGGAGGAAATCCCAGGAATTCCAGCAGGAAATCCCAGGGGACTCAAGGAAGAAATTCTAGGGAATTCAGGCAGGAAATCCTAGGGAATTCAGGGAGGAAATTCCAGGAATTCCATCAGGAAATCTCAGGGAATTCAAGGAATAAATTCTAGGGAATTCAGGCAGGAAATCCAAGGGAATTCAAGGATGACATCACAGAGAATTCAGGCAGGAAATGGCAGGAATTTGGCTGGGAAATCCAGGGAATTCAGGGATGAAACCCCAGGGAATTCAGGGATGAAACCCCAGGGAATTCAGGGATGAAACTCCAGGGAATTCAAGGATGAAACCCCAGGGAATTCAGGGATGAAACTCCAGGGAATTCAGGGATGAAACCCCAGGGAATTCAGGCAGGAAATCCCAGTGAACTCAGGCAGGAAACCCCAGGGAATTCAGGGATGAAATCCCAGGAATTCAAGCAGGAAATGGCAGGGATTTGGCTGGGAAATCCCGGGAATCAGCACCTGGTGTACTCGGAGCCCACCACGCGGGCATACTCAGCCCCCACGCCCAGCAGGTCGCAGGCCGACACCAAATCCTTCTCCAGGGTGTGGAGTTGCTGAAACAGGAAAATAAAAACGCCATAAAAACTCAGGATTTGCTCCATGAATCCCAAGAAAACGCCATTAACCCCTGGATTTGCAAATCCCTGCTCCTCAAAGGGGTTTTAAATCTGTTTTCCAAAGGAATCTGCAGCGTTAAAAAGCAAAACGGCGTCAGATAACAGCGATTTTTTTAGGGAATAACAGAACAAAAAGCTTCCACGCTGCTTTTAACGGGAATACAGGGTTTTTCCAAGGTTTTTTTCCCAAGGAATTGCCACTCCAAGGACTCACAGCCAGCTGGAAGAGCAGCCTGCAATGCCAGTAGGGAGTTTGCTGGGAGATCTGGATGGCTTTGCGCAGCAGGGGCTTCGCCGTGTCCACGGAATTCTGCAACACAAACACCCCCAGTCAACGGAAATCCGGGATCCTGGAATTCCACAGCCTTGGAATTCCTGGGATAATCCCCCTCTGGGGAAGGTTGGGAATGAGGGATCAAACAGGAGAAGTTTGGGGCTGCTCCGTCCTTGGAATGCCTGAGGTAGGGTTGGATGGGATTGGAGGAATCTGGGATTTTGGGATAGCGTCCAGAATTGGGATTGGATGGGATTTAATGTTTCTAATCCAAACCATTCCAGGGTATTTGGATTCAAAATCCCAAGAAATGATTTTGAAGGAAATCAGCCCAACGGCAAAACACAAAATTTGGGATGATCCAAATGGGGCTTCCCAAGGAAGGAGCCTAAAATACGGAAAGGAAGACCTTGGAGAAGGATTGGAGGGACAGGACACAGGGAATGCATTCCCAGATGGGATTTTGGGATGGAATTCCTCCCTGGCAGGGTGGGACGGGGCTGGGACAGAATTCCCAGAGCAGCTGGGGCTGCCCCAACCCTGGAATTGTCCAGGTTGGAGCAACCTGGGAGAGGGGAAGGTGCCCTCCCCATGGAACTGGATGATCCTTCATGTCCTTTCCAACCCAAATCCTTCCAGGATTCCAAATTCCTGAGGAAAATCCTGGATTTTCCTCCCCTAAAATCAGAATTTCTTTACCGAGGACTAAAAAATGTCTTTGACCAAGCAAAATCCTTTTGCAATGGGAAACTCTTCTCGCAATTCCAGCAAAAACTTCCTCAGTTAGGATGGGAAAAAGCCTCTCATCCCAGAAATGTGATTTTTCACGGGAATATCTAGTTCCAAACCCAAATTCAAGGGGCACAGAGGGGTTTTTGGGGTTTCTCTCACCTCCTGGCAGTAGAGCTCCGACAGCAAACTGGCTGCCTCAAACTTCACATCCTCAAACTGGGGGATCTGGCACCGGGGTTAAGGAAACAACAAAATCCAGATGGGAAACAGCAGCAAAACCTCCAAAAACCCTCAGGAAAACCAGGCTGGATGGGATCTAAGGTCCCTTCCAACCTAAACTCCGTGCTTTTGTGAAAGCAGTGACGAAGTGGATTAAAAACCCCCACTCCATTCCCCCAGCCCAGGTCCTTGAAGGCGTTTTGGGAGTTTCCTTGGAGGTGTTCCGAGCTTGGAGCCCTGACTGGATCCCGGGAAAAGGATACCTGCTGGGATATCAGCCACTGCAAGAGAACACAGCGGGTTGTGTTGGCACTAGAACCCACCAGCACCGCCCTGCTGCCCTCCCACTGCCCCCTTTCCCTGCTCCCCATCTTTCCCAGCCGCCAGCACCCCCTCGGCCGCCCCTTCCCCTGTTTTGTACCTTCTCCAAGTGCCCACGGCCCCGTTCCCACCGCTGCCAACCCTTTCCCCACGGCCTGGCCCCCGGCCCTTCCCCGTTCCCCAGCCCACCGCAGCCGCCCTGTCCCGCTCACCGCCTTCTCCAGGTGCCCGCGGGCCTGGTCGCCGTTGCGGGTGTGGTGATAGAGGACGGAGCCGAGCTGGAGGTGCGTGCGGGCCTCCATGCGGGCCGGGGGCTTGCGGGGCAGCACGGCCTGCAGGCAGTGCACGCACAGCCGCACCTTGGGCGGGCTG